CTTCTCCTACAGTTGAGTTATACAACATATTGTATGATACAAACTAAATTTATACTTTTATTTTATGGTGGATTGGATTCATCGATTGGTTCAACATGATTGGTGGATCCGGATTCATAGAGTCAAGTGAAATCTAAACATTGGACCAATATGTAAATTAAAAAAATTGTACATACGAAAATCTAATAAAATTTAGATACCAAAACATAATTGTTCAATAATTTTACACTACAATTAAATTTAGGGTATCAAAATGTAAAATGTACATTCTAGTGAATAAGTTGTGATTTAATTAAATTTGGGGTTTCAAAATGATATTTTTTTAGGCAGCAGTTGAGTGATACAACATATTGTATGATACAAACTAAATTTATACTTGTGCATTGGATTCATGGATTGGTTCAACAGAATTGGTAGATCCAGATTCATGGATTCAAGTTGAATCTAAACATTGTACCAATATGTAAATTTAAAAAATTGCACATATGAAAATCTCATAAATTTAGATACCAAAACATAATTGTTCAATAATTTTACACTAAAATTAAATTTAGGGTATCAAAATGTAAAATGTACATTCTAGTGACTAAGTTGTGATTTAATTAAATTTGGAGTATCAAAATAATATTTTTTTAAGGCAACAATAACTATGTTTCAGCTTTATATATAAAAATCAACTATTTCGTTTGAGGGGTCAAGTTAGGCCACCTGGATGCGAACTCCGACTTGAGCTCTGTATCCGGGGTGTGCATGCGAAGCGTGAGGACGCCCTGCACATCCTCTGCCGCTTCGGGAGCAAGATCAACCTCGGTGTCTAGGGTGTGTACTTCGAAAGTTTATGTACCAATATGTAATACCCAAAATTTGAGATACTAAAATGCAATGTTCCATCTATAATTTGCATAGTTGAGGCTTAATTCCTTTTATGGTGATGTATTTAAGATGATAATTATTTATTTTTTATAGAAAAGAGGAAAATATTTATTTGATATGTATAATTGTTGAAAAATTCATGAATAATTTTTGAAAATTCTAGCCTAGTTGAAAAAGAAAAACTCTAGGGAGAAGAAAGGAATACAAACTGGAACTCACTTAAAATTTCACACCTTCAAATATCATAGTGGAAAATGATGACTTTTTAATAAGTAGTAATCATATATATTTATTTTAAATTGGATTCGACATTGAGCTGAAAAAGTTAGTGGTTCATGGTTCAATTATTATTTCTCAAGACTGTTGGTCAGTCGTGTACGGACACGTTCATACTTGTGATTAGAATACATAAAAATAGTATACTAATTAGGATTAGACAAATAAGGCAGAGAAAGAAATAAAGAAAAGGTCATGGAAGGCGAGTGAAAAATATAACGAAGAGGAAGTATATGATGGAAAGGTTTTGAGCAATTCTTTTATTTGGCCGTCAATATAACAGTCAACTCTTTTCACCGTAGCAATTTATTCACACTTGCTTATGTAGATTTCGCAAATTTTGTTACATGTAGTTAGTAGCGTCTCTCTTTTATCATTTATTTAATGTTTTTTATAATGAGCAAATGTAAAATGGTCATATCTTCTCCTACAGTTGAGTTATACAACATATTGTATGATACAAACTAAATTTATACTTTTATTTTATGGTGGATTGGATTCATCGATTGGTTCAACATGATTGGTGGATCTGGATTCATAGATTCAAGTGAAATCTAAACATTGGACGAATATGTAAATTTAAAAAATTGTACATACGAAAATCTCATAAAATTTAGATACCAAAACATAATTGTTCAATAATTTTACACTACAATTAAATTTAGGGTATCAAAATGTAAAATGTACATTCTAGTGAATAAGTTGTTATTTAATTAAATTTGGGGTTTCAAAATGATATTTTTTTAGGCAACAGTTGAGTGATACAACATATTGTATGATACAAACTAAATTTATACTTGTGGATTAGATTCATGGATTGGTTCGACAGAATTGGTAGATCCAGATTCATGGATTCAAGTGGAATCTAAACATTGGACCAATATGTAAATTTAAAAAAGTGCACATATGAAAATCTTATAAATTTAGATACCATAACATAATTGTTCAATAATTTTACACTAAAATTAAATTTAGGGTATCAAAATGTAAAATGTACATTCTAGTGACTAAGTTGTGATTTAATTAAATTTGGAGTATCAAAATCATATTTTTTTTAGGCAACAATAACTATGTTTCAGCTTTATATATAATAATTTTAAAATCCCAAGTGTTTTTTTGCTAGTTTACCGTAACTCTATTCCTCTCTCTTTTCATTTGCTGAAACAAACCAAAACAAGTTTCGAAATCGAATTAGCGACGAGTGGTTGAATGATTGTTTAGTAGGGTATATAGAAAAGGATGTGCTCAATAATGTAGACCCTAAATTTGTTGTACAATGTTTTCAGAATATGAAATTACGTCGTGGTTCATTGTAGAAATAAACAAATGTATCATATGAGTATTATATTAAATTACATATTTCACTTATCGATCTTGTTTTTTTTTTTTCTTTCTTCATAGTTTTGTGCATTAGAAGTGCTCATAAGTAAATGATTCTTCTCAGAAAAAAGAAAGAAAAAAAAAAGGGAAAAGGGAGAGGAACAAAAAGACTGGCAAATGGCGGGAGTACCTATCTCAATCGGTCAGTGCTGTCTGGAGCGTTGTTGCAAGTCATTAGTCATTACCATGGCTGGCTTATATCTCATGGAGGAGATTATAGACGTAATCAAGTAAAGTGCATAAGTAGGCAAAGAATAATAAATTTCGCGAAAAGATTACAGGCCCCTCCTCATCTCATGACTTAGCTTGGCGACACGTTGAATGGATCTAGCGTTTGTTTTCTATATATGCATATCCTGCTATTTTGAGAATAAGAAAAGAAAAATGGATTAAAAAAAAACAAAGTTAATGTCTATTTTTTATTCAATTTTTTTATATTATTCAAATTTATCGAAACACCAATAATTATTCAAAGGTTGACTTTTAATTAGCAGTTTAGTTAGTAATATTTGGCAACATGATACTAATTTAGAAGAGACACATTAAGATCAACATTCTAAAATTTTAGCATTTTAACTAAGAAAAAATTATAAAATTTTTAACAATGACGTAAAAAGGTTAATATTTTTATGAATTACGAAATATTTTTGTAATTAATAATATTTTAATATATTTGGAAAATATAAAAAAGTTGAAAAAAGTTGGGATAAAAATAGACATTATAAAAATAAAAAGCGATTACGAAACAAAATGAAGAAAGAGGGCCGGGCCAGGGGAAAAGGGAAGAATGCAGAATGGAAGATGGGAGGAGGTCCACACTCCACATGTATGGGAGTGTTTCACCACAACTTTAATTTTGATGCAGCTAGGACTAGGAATCTAAACGTACACCCTCAAGACTCACAGCTGATACGAAAGCAGCGGTTACGCATTCAGTTACCTTTTATAATTTTAAGATAACTTATTCTAATTTCTACTTGAACCTTAATCTCAAGGTGTTTTCATGTTTTGGGATTTGTGATATAACTTCTCCCAAATTTAGCAAGATATACCGCCCTACCATTAAGCAAAACCTTGTAGTTCTCAAAATCACAATCAAGTTCTAAAGAACACATTTGTCAGGAGTGGGAGGTAGGGCAGTTTTTCAAGCAGCAGTCAGAAATTTGAATGTAAGGTATTAATTTGAATTGTTGAATTTGGATAGGAGGGCTAAAGCTTTACCAATTATTTTGTCTTCTAAATTTGTGCAAAATTTACATATAAATTTATCTATATTTTAATAATTGATAGGGACTATAGCCCCTGCTAGTTTCAACCTAATTCTAGTCTTTAGGGTCGGCTTTGAGGGTGTGATGGCACGCCCTCCGGCATAGGACCTCCAAAATTTTGAGGGCCTCCGGACCTCCATCGCGTATATGACTAATTATATTATTGGATTTTGATTATGAATTTAAAATTATAGAAAATTAATGAATTGTGTTTTGATTATGGGTCTAAAGCAATAATATTGCAAAATTTAAGAACGAAAGGATCACATTATGGGAAAATTTGTTTTCTTAATTATTAATTTTTTTCCAAACCATATAACAGAACTCATGTTTTTCGTATGTTTCCTAAATATAATAAAAGATGTAAAATTGGTGATGCCTAATTATTAGCATTATTAAATTTGTTGCTTTAAATTTCTTTATTTTCAACATTCTAAGGAGAAAAATAATTCAATTTTGTTAATTAATCTGTTTGTACTAGCAAGACGATAATCCTAAATTAATTAAATAATCCATATTGATTTATTAAATGTTAACCGGAATAATTAGGTACAAACCACCAATAGCAGAAAAGAAAAAAAAATAACTAAATCAATTATAAATGGTTTGTACCATACTTAATTTTAGACTAAAATAATAAACAGTTTATCCTATATAATTTAGTTTATTCTATTATTTGTTTATAATATTTGATTTTTCTAAAATTATAATAAATTTTTTACTTAAATCTTACTATTTAAATTATTGTCATTCTTTATTAAAAATCATATAATATAGATATTTTTCTTAAATAATGGAATAATTTTTATTTATTTATTGATTGATGCCTTGTTTATATTTTATTCTATATTTTGGAAAAATAATATGTGCAACATTTTGTTTAGAGAAGAAGGTATCCGAAATCTGAGGGCCGGCCCTACCTAACTCCACCACTATTCTGGAGGGAGACATGCAGAGAGACAGCTGAATCTGTTCTGTTGACGACAAAGACCAACAGGATGAGAAGATAAGAAAATAGAAGGAAGGAAGCTGTGCTGCTTTTTCTTAGCTTGGTTGGTTGCTTGTAAACCAAAAGGCATATACTTAGTTAATTATTGTACTACTAGTGTAATTAAGCGATATGTAGATGCCATTCTTGTGGTCCGCCCAGGCTGCTGCATGCGTCAGTCTATATATATAAGCATGCTGATTCCTGGCAAAACAAACAGCAGCACGCAGTAGTAGGAAAGGCAACACGAAAGCAAGCATAATACTACTTAGTTACGTGCCTACGTACGTAAACAGATTAGATAAGAAGTAATTAATTAATTAATTATGTCGAGGGAGAGGGATCCGCTGGTGGTAGGGCGGGTGATAGGGGATGTTTTGGAGGATTTCACGATGAGGATCCCGCTGAGGGTGAGCTACGTGAACAACAGGGAGGTGTACAATGGGTCTGAGCTCAAACCTTCTCAGGTTGCCAACCAACCCCAGGTCCACATTGGCGGGGACGACCTCCGCACCTTCTACACTCTGGTATGGTATGGTATGGTATGGTATGGTTCGTATAATAATAATAATAATATAACCCTTCTCTGCTTACTGCATGCCTTCTACCTTATAGTTATAATATTAATATATATACACGTTTTGCAGGTTATGGTGGACCCGGATGCGCCAAGCCCCAGTGACCCTAACTTGAGGGAATACTTACACTGGTAATTCCCCCATTTTTCTGCAATATTCCCAACTTATTAATTAATTAATTAGTTTCCTGTTTCCAAAATCTCTAGTTATCTATCAGGTCGGAATAGTTTAGTTTACAAGCCAATATTCTCTGTTCACCATTCTGGTAGGTAACCCTAGAGACCAAATGACCATTCTCTAGTAGTACGTAATAGCCAATTGGTGTTATGAAAGCAGTCTTCTATTCTTCTGTTAACCTTAACGGGAATTCGGTGATATCTAGAGCACATTCCAGCAAGGACATCATGTCGTATGCTTGGCAGTTGCATCGATCAGTAGATCTATGATTTCATTAACTTGTGAGCTATGATTCTTATTATTGTTAAGTGTATCTTACCTAAGTTATTAATCATGGGTACAAAGTACTATATCTTTTTCTTTGCAACACGCTTAAGTGATGTCTAAAAAATTAAACCTAAGTGCTAGGCAATGCCCTAACACCTTCCTTACACCCTTGAAGTATTAATATGGAGATGATACATATTATACTCTCTTCTCTTTTCTTGCTCTCTAATTCCCTACTTTGATTTTGATTTTTAAGATGAAGGATCTACATGCATGCATGTTTTGTTCGTCTGTTAGGCTATCTTGCTTTTCATTTTGTGTCAAGTAAAATACATCACCGTCACTGTGGGATGGGGTGGGCGATGAAGACCAATATAATATATCGCATGACTATCTTTGAAAGAGGATCGAAAAACCGTATCGTACCGGCAGTTCGACCAGAAAACTTTTTACCGGAAGCAAAATCGGTAGCCGATATTTAGGTTTAGCGGCATGAAATGGTTGGACCATAATTAAATCATTGTTTCAACATAAAATATCATACCTCTAACTTTTCCGGTACGACCTCCCGTGCGGGATTTCAATTCCTGTCTTTTTCTCCTAAATTGAATGGTAGTGGGGTGCATCGTGCATGGGGTGTGACTTTCTTATTATTTAAATGCCCAAATATTCACCCGCGATCTAATCATGTAAATAGTTGTTTTCTATATATAAAAGGCTTGGTTAAGGGTTTACTATTCATTAATTAATTAAGAGGGTGTTTTGTAATTTGCATTAATTTAGTGGCATTTTACTAATACCACATATTTTTGCATATTTTTCATTTCTTTTATCATTTTGTGGATATATTTGCCTAATTTTTTTCATTTCTTTTAATTACAAATAGAAACCTTTGATAACCCAACTTTTCTATGTTTTATTTTTCTATCCCGAAATTGACATCTTTATTCGTATTGAGTTGTTTGGCCGTTCAACTAAAAACGGATCAATCACGCATATTCAGAACACATGTATATCAGTGATGTGTTTCCCATTTTAGAGTTCTTATAGATTAACAATCTTTGTGAGTTTTTCGTATATTCAAGTAAAGATAGGTTGATCATGCGTATTTCAATCATGTGTAATTTGATGATCCATTTTTTATTTTTAAATTCTTATCGATTGATAATCTTTATGAGCTTTGCAGCTATTCAACTTTTTGTGTGTGCATAGTCATATTTTCGAATATGCATCATAATTGACTATCAAATCCAATTTACTGTCATAGGCTTATAGGTTAGAAGTGTAGTACTTTAATGAGAGTTTGACTCAGTAGATTAAAACTTTCTTCAACCGATCTTAGGTTATACAGTTTCATTTACTGATTGAAATTGTATCGTGTGAGTATTTTTTTTTTTTTCTAATTCATAGTACTTTGTATTGATCATCCTAGTATATATATATATATATATATATATATATGCTTCAGTTTTAATCTGTAGTTTGTCAATGACTTCCCACTCGATCGACGGTGTGTCTATCTATATAGCTGGAGTCACTGACATCTATATTAATTTATAGAAGAATTTTACTGAAGCAAAACGTTAACTAATTATATATGTCCCTCTGCTTAATTTCTTACTGCAGGCTGGTGACAGACATTCCTGCCACTACTGGGGCAACCTTTGGTAATTGCCAAAAAACTCGATCGTATACGTAGCCTTTCAATGGTAGGCTTTGGATTAGTCAGCGGATAGACTAAACAATACTAAGGATGGTGGTAAATGTATGCATGCATGCAGGGCAAGAAGTGGTGTGCTACGAGAGCCCTCGGCCGTGGGTGGGGATTCACCGCTTCGTATTTGTACTGTTCCGGCAACTGGGCCGCCAGACGGTTTACGCGCCCGGTTGGCGCCAGAACTTCAACACCAGAGACTTCGCGGAGCTCTACAATCTGGGCCTGCCCGCCGCTGCCGTCTACTTTAACTGCCAGAGGGAGACCGGCTCCGGGGGAAGGCGAATATGATCCATCCATCCTTCGTACCCATGCATTCGCCTCCTTTCGCCGGCCGGCCAGCCTAGACCACACGAAAAAAATAATAATAATAAAACAGGAATAACAATGTTGTCCTCGATCTCCCGCAAGCCAGGCGGGAAGGCAGCTGTTAGTTAAACCCCGGGCCCGGGGGTTACTTAATAATTAGTCAGACGTGAAGACGCATACCGAAAAGGTTACTAGCTACATATACTTGTCCTCTCCTACAAAGATATCAATAGTCATAGTGTAATCATATTAATAATAATAATATTATTATTATTATTATATAAAATAAAATAAAAAAATCAGACAGATCATTATATAGAAGGCATGTGTGTCTAGCCAGTCATGATATAGTGTACACTTCATCATGAAAGGTTTATGGACAGATACGTATGTGTGTACTATATATGTATTGGGAAATTAAACCTTTTATGAGTGCTCCAGGCATCGGAAGTGAAAGGCAAAGGGAATTAAATGAGAAATAGCATTTGGGTGACAATTGACCCTTTTACTTGGACTAATCTCTGTACTACAGTCTACAAGTGTTAAAAATAGCAATAAACAATTATCATTGTATTATTAAAGAGAAAAAATATTATATATCGTTGTTGATGCTTCTACAAGATTTTACTCTATTTTTCTGTTCTTGGTAAATGTAGGGCTGGTGATTCGGGTCTAATTGTACACATTTTATCTTTTGATTTCTATATAGTTTGATTTTGCATTTCGTCGTCTCTCGACTTATTTTACGCTAGGTTGTGCTATTTTTGATATATTTCAGGTCCTAGCATGTGTGGGAAAGTCGAGAACGAGTTTCGGGACGATTAGAGTCGATAAAGCGCCAATAATTGTAGTAAAGTGAAGGACAGTCTAAGGTCATGGGCAGAGGTCAAATGTCACGGTCACTAGACCGTGACAATTTATCATTGTGCTTGACATTGACAAGTTTCAGAACGCTTTGCGCACCTCACTGGACCCCGAGTGTTTCACGGTCGACTGACCGTGAAAATCACCTAGTGACCTTGAATTGGGACAAAAAATTGGCCAAAATGGTGCGTTTTGGTCCGATGTCACCGTTTGTGGTTAAATATCACGGCGTGAACAGTGACCGTGAAAAGCGACTGTCAGACTGTATCAATAGAAGGCTGGTGGGAGAGAGAAGAGAGAGTTTTTTAGAGAGAGCTTTTGATAGGTTTTTAGTTTGCAGAATAAAAGGGGAATTGTAGTGAGAGATTAAGGTTTCTCCTTCATATGCTACAGAGAGAAAGTGTCATTCAAAGGAGGAAGAAGGATATTTGGGCTTGCCCTAAACTAGAGAATTGAAGGTTTCTTCTTCTCAAGGGAGATTCAAGCAACAAGGAAGGAAGATATTCATCTCTTCATGGTTCTTTCTCTCCTTTTTGTTGTTTTCACTTGCCTAGCTATGGAATAGCCCACCTACTCATTTGGGTATTGTGAATCCTAGTCTAGATGTGTGTTAGGATGTAAGAACATGATTCTCTTGTAACGAATGTGTGTTTTATATAATATTTGAGGTATTAATCATGAATGATTGAGTGTTGCTTGCATTATCTAATTATTGGTCAAATTAACCTAGAATGTGGAAATCCCCCTTTGGCCCATAGGGAGCTTGATCTCCTAGCCTCTTGGGTAACCCCTTTTGGGTTAATCTTGGGCCAAAACCTCAAGTATCGGAGAAGTACCATGATCCCATCATGATTGGTCTCTCTCCACCATCCGGATTAACTTCCGAGGGTTGGGTTTTTCAATCCTTAGTTGATTGGCGAAGAGGGCTAGATTGCCTAGCCTATTGTTGTCATCCTTAGCCGAAAGGTGAAGAGATTTAATCTGCTAACTTAATAATGCAACAATCCTTAATTGGTCAATTAAGAGAGTTAGGTTTTCCTCGGTTCATTCGATTAAGAGAGCTCTGCCTCCTAGCTTATTGTTGCAATCCTTAACCGAGCGGTTAAGACAGCTAGGTTCCCTAGTTTATTGTAGTAATCCTTGCTTGATCGACTTGGAGGGTTTGTTCCTAGCTAGTTGCACCCACTTCGCGGTATATGAACACATCATTCACATTATAGTTTTGTGCATGATTTCCTAATAGGAGACTAGGGGGTGCAATACCCGAGTCAAGTCCTCTCACATAAAATCCTCATCGTTTCACTTTCCTTGCTTGTTTTCATTTGCAGTCACTTTAGCTTTAAATCACCAAAACCCGTTTTGCTAGATAACAACCTAAGCGAATGAAGTAGGGGGTACATGCATGATGCACCGACCCGAGTTTGACTTTTAAAACATACTTTCCCTATATTGCACCCAGTTAAGGTTTATACTTGGCCTTAATTGGGGTTTTTATTGTGATATTAGGGACATGTCAAGTTTTTGGCGCCGTTGCCGGGGACCTACAGTCCATTATTTTGAAAAAGCCATTTAGTGTTACTCTAGCTAGCATTTTCTATCTTGTCTTGTCTTTTGTTTTTTGTTTTATCTTTCTGTGATGCAGAGTTGAGTCATGGATCCCGATAGCCTCTCCTATAGGTGGGGGTGTCAATCAACACCCATGTGGTGCTATCCCGAACCGACATGGAGCTATCAAGAAGTAGATGAGTACGGATCCAGGGTCGACCACCAACTACCTTTCCATGATGAGCAACCATATCCCCCCCCCCCAAATGTTCACCTGTTCCAATCATACTATAAAGACTACCCTCCACAACAAGATGTAAAGAGCCAATCGGATAATGAGAAATCATATTCGGTACTGGCCTTCCCAACCATGGATCCACCTCACTCGGATTTCCTCTATGAAGCGGAGGACATACGCAAGAGCACGGAGAGGCTAAGATTGAAGGTCGAGGAAGCTTGTGCACGGTTCACTCAAGACGGGTACTTAGCGATTCGTGATGAAAAGGAAGATGAAGTGGCAAGCCTCGAGGATGAATTGGAACCATCGTGGATGGCCACCGTGATGCTCAAGAATTGGAATGTTCTCGTGAGGAAGCCATGTCACACATTTAATGGTCAACTTGGAGAGTTAATTGCCACATCAGCAAAAGTTAACAGAATTGGACGAAAAATGACCAAATTTGAAATATGTAACGAATTTTAGTGATCACTAATGAAATTAAATATTTTTTTTACCAAACGTAAACCTTTTTAGTAATTCCAGTGAACACTCTCATAATTTACCCATCTAATGTACTACTTCTGTTGGGGGTATAATGAGCAAAGCCCAAGTGGGGGGCAAGGCCTAGGCAAACTTGGGCTCCCAAGCAGCCCAAGTGAGGGGCAAGGCCCAAGTAAAGGGGATGTCACATGAAGACAAGGCACAAGAGGCCAAGGGAGGCCAGGCTGTCATGTGGTCCAGCGCCTGCGGGCGCCTGTCACGTGTCAGGAGTCTGACAAGGTGGTTAGGATGTCTGGCCAGAAAGAGACAAAAGCATTGAATGAGGGCAGGGAGGCAGAGAGGATCAACCTCGAACTCAGGTAAGTATAAATAGAGGCAGTTGGTAGCATTTACGCAGGTTGGATCCGGACACACTGATTCTAGCTTTGAGACTCCACTCTCTTCCTGGAAACTAACTTGGGCGTCGGAGGATTAACGGGCCAAGGCGCCCCCTCTTTGTTAGTGTGTGCAGATAGGCGCCTGACGAAGGAGGATTCAGGGGAATCAGGCAAAGGGTATCAAGTCTCAAACAATTGGCGCGCCAGGTAGGGGGGTATAGCCAGGAGCCATGAGTGAAGAGGCGCCCATGATCGAAGAAAGGGAAGAAATTACGGAAGAACAGTCGGAGCGAATGAGAGGGCGGACGCCCGAAGAGGAAGAAGGTGAAGGAAGTGAAGGCACGTTGCGGGGATCCGAAGGCGCCTCAGTCACGAAAAAAGAATTGTTCCGGATCATTGAGAACCAAGATGAGGCGATCGAGGCGCTGCGGCGTGAGGTGGACGCCTTGAGAAGGGGTGAAGGGATGACACCCAGCCCGACGAAGAAAAGAGAAAGGGCGGAAGAGACGGAGATTGAATCGGGGTGCCCGAGGCGTCCCGGCCTGTGGCGCCCACGTGATTACGGGGCGCCGGACGATAGTGGATGGAATGGAGGAATATTGGGGCGCCTTTCACGCCACTGTCCTGTGAGACAGCCTCTGGCGCGTTGCATATTATCGGAGCCAGCCGGAACCAACATCCCCCCACTCCCAGCTTATGACGGGACTGGAGACCCCGAGGACCACCTCAACGGATATTTCACCAAAATGCAACTCTATAACAGCACAGATGCCACCCTGTGCAAGGTGTTTCCGTCCACCTTTTCGGGTGTGGTTCTCGATTGGTATCATCAGATCGGTGAAGGGCGCATCGACTGCTTCGAACAGTTCGCAGCAATGTTCTTGGCGAAGTTTGCCAGCAGAAAAAGGCGCTCCTTGACCATAGGCGCCTTGTTTAAAGTCAAGCAGAAAGAGGGAGAGGCGTTACGGGAATTTTACGAGAGGTGGCTATCTGTGGCTCTAGCAGTGAAGGATGCCCAGCCGTCGGTGCTGGGGGTGTGTCTGAATGAGTGCACCTCCAGTGAGGAGTTATGCAGGGCGCTTGCGAAGAGAGATGTGGTGTCCACAGAAGACCTGGATTATAGAGTGCAAAAGGTAATTGTGCTGGAGGAGACATTAGCGGCCAGGAGGGCAGATCGAAGGAAGGCACGAGTAGAGGAGGTCGAGGTACCAAGGAGGCAGTACCCAACGAGTGGTTCGGGCTATGCGCCCACGAGCCAGCCACCGCCAAGGAGGAACGATATGGGGCGCCAGGCGCCTAGAGGGGCTGGGCCCTTCGCCGAGTATAACGACACCCTGAAGAATGTGCTCCAGCACGTCAAGGACAAGGGATACCACATCAGGTGGCCAGGGCCGATGCGGGGGCAACCCAACGAGCGGAACTTGGACCGGTACTGCGACTTCCACCGTGAGATTGGGCACTACACAGCTGATTGCTACCAACTTAAGACAGAGCTGCAGGGTCTTGCGGACAGGGGAATGCTCAATGACTTCATCAGAAAGCCCGAGGAAAGAGTGCATAGGGCGTGTGTGGCTGGAGTAGTGAGAACAGGGGAGGAGCTGCCACCGCCACCCTATGACTTGGACCAAGAAAAGGCGCCTGACCGCGTGCGCCTGACGATCGAAGCCATTTCAGGGACAATGGATCTGAGGGAGAAAATAGAAGCAAAGCATCGGTTGAGGGCGGCGTCGGCAGATGTGCAGGAGTCGATCGACATTAGCTTCAACAAGGCGCCTGAGGAGGCGTGTATGCTCCCGT